CAGTGCAAATCTCAGAAACTTATAGATTTGTATCAGGATCGCAGAAACGACAAGATGCCATAGATTTGAATATCGTGATTATCCCAGAGCAGGAGCAGAGTGCCATTTACATATCTCCTCTCGAGTTTCCAATCTACCAATTTTACAATATTCAGGATGGATTGGAAAACCGAGTAAGTGCTTAGATGTCAAAAAATTTCGCGCCAACATCACAGCATAAGCATAGTATGATTTACATCTCTTCTCGAGTTTCAGTGATCCTAGTAGCAACGTGACGTCCACCAAATTTATGAGAAAAGTCCGGACGACAATGCGATTTTCAGAATCGTATAGGTCTGTTTCAGGATCGCAGAAACGATAAGAGGTATCTATGCGGTGGATTTGAATGTCGTTCTTATCTCATAGCAGTAGTTTGTATACCTCCTCGCGTTTATGTGAACCTGGTAACAAGACTCCAATCTACTACTTTTACGAAGGACCTGTGGTCGTCAGGATTGTAGAAACGAATAGGTGCATAATGTCAAAGATCATAATTTCGCGCCAACATCTCCCGATATTATTTATTGCTCTACTGTATTTCAAATGATGAACATACACCTCCTGTGCGATCTCAGACCACATTCCGCTATAATATCGCACATCAATATTATATTGCGACAGGTCAGCTTGAGCGCTAAGGATGAATGCGTTATGCAAAGCTGGTCGTGTTGTCCGACCGCGTCAGTGCCGGGGTCCAAAGGCCGAACTTATGTCATGTGACGTCATGACCGACCAGCGATGCGCGAGGCCAGTGGGCTACAGCACGCAACACAGAAAATGTCATATAAATTATATACAAGTAGCCTATTCTTAGGCATCTGTACACAAAAAATGAAACACAAGTTGCTCATTGATCCTTTAATATTTTTTGATAAATAAGTACATAGTACCTAATTAAACCTATCGTTTATAACAATATCTATATACATACGTTTTATATAAAATAAGTAATAGTTGTATATTTAACCTATAAGTGCACAAAAGAGAATATAGAATAATTTAGTTTTGTATAGGAAAATGAACTTTACATATCAATGTACTTATTTGCCACTAAAACGAAACTGATAGTAACATTTCAAAATAACTGAAATTGCCGAAGAATATTCTGCTTATGCAACTGTACTTGATATAAATGGTGTCCAATAATTGACGCAGGATTTGAATTGTTGTATAGAAAAAAAAATTTTTTTCTTTAAATAGTTATTTCTATATCGAATCATAAGTTATATGAGTGTCTTTTTACACTTTTTTTACATTTTTTAATATAATTGTAGTAGCATAGTAGTCCTTTTTGCTAGCTCTTTTGAATTATATTACGGATTTAATCTCAGTCACAGCGAAACATACACTGCGATACCGGTTCGGTCTGCGTTCATTCGTGTTTGAATCATATAAAGTTTTGTAAAAACGGAGCTTAAGGTATCGGGTACAAAACCATGAGAAACAGCCATGGTGCTGTTCTCGAAAGACTAATAGATGAACCTGGAAACACCATGATAGGTCCTGACGACCCCACACTGGACCACAGCAATGGAAGACAAGACATCACAGATATGGCGATTCTGAAAGAAATCGACCTGCGCGCGACCATCGTCGGCGCCTGGCAAGAGGGAAGCTCGGATCACAACCCCATCTTTCTACATTTGGGCGATGGAACAACACCAGTGGAACAGAGAACGGTGAAGAGAGTGGACCGGCAGCGATTCAGGATCACGCTGCACTACGCACTCGTACCATTGCTTCAGAATGACAGCCCTAAAGACATCGAGGAAGCGGTCACGGACCTAGCAGGGAAGATTAAGGCTGCGTTAGAAGCCGAAAGCTCCGAGGAAGATATGACGCAACTAAACAGGTTCAGGGAGTGGTACTAAGGGGAATGCCCATCAAAACCACCTGCCAAGAGATCGGAGAAGACTGGGTCAGGCAAGGCTTCCACCCAAAGAGGGTGAATAGGATGACCAGCAGAAGGACTGGCAAAGCGATACCGCTGATTAAAGTAGATCTCCCAAAGGAAGAGACGGGGATCTACAAAATAAACGCCGTTTGCCACTTGGTGATCCAAGTAGAGGCACTCAGAAAGAAGACTGGGCCAGGTCAGTGATACCGATGCCAGCAATTTGGTCATAGCCAAATGAACTGCACGGGAGAGCCGCGCTGCGTTAGATGCGCAGGAACGCACAGAACGGCGGACTGTAAGGTCCCTAACGAAACGCCCGCGAAGTGTACCAACTGCGGGGAGAGCATCCCGCAAACTTTGGGGGATGCCCAAAGAGGCCGAGTGCAGGGCCAAGGGGTAAGAAGATGACAGCAAGGCGCACAGCGCGAGCAGTGTCAGCACCCAAAACCATAACTAGGCGTAGTCCAGCTGGGACACCTAAAGTGGCCCAAGCCGCTCAGGCCAGCAGTGCCAAAGACAGCGACGTCGAGGAGCTGACAGACTTTGCCACCAGGTACGCATCTCAAGTGATGTCGCTGGTGATGAAAAATCCGGCTGCCAAGAAAGCGTATTTCGCTCATCTGGACCCCCAAGAAAGAGGCCGTCCATAAAGTCGAGAACCGACAGTTGGAAGAAACGTCCACCACGTGCTTCCGCGACGCGTGCGCGATCGAGTCAAATTTCGGGAAAAAGGGGCAAAATTGGGGAGGGGGGTTAGCTCGTTCGGCAGCACACACTCGGGGAATGCGCAGCGGCCTGAACCACGCAGCGCCACGCCAGGCCTTCGGGCGGGAGAGGAGGGAGGAGCAGATTGCTCTTCCCCCCACTCCTCAAGGGTTTGAAGTTGCCTGGAACAGGGGTGGTGGAGGGACCGCACAGGGTAGGAGGGTGCGTGGGTGTGCATGGGGTCGCCCGTGACCCAACCGAATAATATTTAAGTCTTTTGTTAGGAATATTCCGCTGCAGCCGTCTCCCTCCACCTACCTTTCAAGCTTGGCCATTTGTTTTGGTGTGTCATACTCAAAAAAAATAATAATAAATAAGGTAGTAATGCTCATGTCAACAGTGGATAAGGATAACGAGGTTGAACAGAATTCAGGGATATCCGAAATTAATTTATTTTATATAGGTAATGCTACCAAATGTTTTTGAGTAGCTATGTCAAAGTAAGTTCATATCAAGCAGAACGAAAAGATTGTCTCGGGATGATGATATCAATTCTTATGTGTATAAGTGTTCCGTAAGGAAACTTTTTTTTTTTTTTTTTTGGCACTAGGACATTGCCCCATTAGCCAGAATCAAGTATTTATCTATTATATCATACACACATATATAATTTAAGACGTGTAAAATGGCAATGACGTAGCAAGCAGATCCCCTCAGCTATCAGGGTATTGCAGGAAAGACATTTTGGTGACACAGTCGTATTTGGGCGAAGGAGCAAGTACTTAACAAACAGTAGGGAGAAATTGATTATTAAATTTCTTCTAATGCACACTCTCCACTCTGGATGAAAAACAAAAAAGTTAATATAGAAGAACTAAGAAAGTGTTATCAGGAGGGGGCGGGGGTTAAGCATTACACACAAATTTTCAGATGACATTAGTGTCTAAAGGACACCATAACTACATATTAAACCTATGCAACTCTAAGGGGTAGGAGAGAGGATGGGTCAGACAGGGACACACGTTCTTCTCGCCCAGGGACCCGTCAGGGCATTTTTCATTTTTCACATACAACAATTAGGCCACGGATATGAAGGATATATTTATACATAAAGGTACAAAAAACAGAGGATAACTAAAATACGATTGTTATATTTTGATGCCAGAATTTCTGATAAATTTAACAACGAGAACGATCACATCAGATCTACCTAGCGAAAATACATGAGATGTATTTAGGGGGGCAGATATGCCAGATTTCACCAAATCGGAGTAGAGTGCATTGCAGTGATCCAGGAATTTAGCGCAACCAAAGAAACAGTGATCCAAGTCACCATAAACTTCACAAACATCGCACAGTGCAGATGGGACCAAATTTAATCTTGCAAGGTGTGATGGAAAAACACCATGTCCTATTTTCGCACGGGTGATGCAAGAAATATATTTTCTGGGTATTTTAAAATTTTCGTGCCAGTATCCTCGTGGCAGGCTAGGGTGTATGAGGTTGTATCTTGTAGGACTAGTAAAACAGTATTCTATCCATTCAGTGCGCCATCGCTTGAGCAAATTACCTTTAAGTATCACTCGATTGTCTTGCATGCTTAAGGGTATGTCCAGCTTAGTTCCAGATGTTATACTCATCTTTGCTAGATCGTCAGCTTTTTCGTTGTGTATTATCCCAGAGTGGGCCTTCACCCAAACTAGTGTAATCCTGAGGCCTCGTTGTTTTAGCTGACTTATTTTCCATCTTATGTTGAATAAGTGTATATTTTGCATATCGAAAGGACTGCCGTTTTTTAAACTACTGACAACAGAGAGGGAGTCCGAGAATATAGACGTGTTACCAAGATTGTGGTCCTCTACAAACTGTAGGGCTTGGCATATAGCAATAGCTTCTGCGGAAAAAATCGTGAATTCATTTGGTAGTTTAAACATGGAAAAACTATCTATTGAAGGAATATAATGAGCGCATCCCGTTCCTGACGCCGACTTCGATGCATCGGTGTAAATGAATGCATCACCTGCTAATTTACTCTGCACTTCTCGAAGTAGGTTCTGAATGTGGTGTGGTTGTTGCTTGTAAGCTGGTACTCTAACATCAAATCCTGATAGTAAATGAAAGTAACTTATATCTTGGATCACTCGTTGGCTATGAGAGGTTAGTTGTATTCTGTTGGCATATTGTATGGCACTGCATAGAGGCGGGGAGTTTCTTTTGGTCCAATATTTGCATGTCAAGTCCATGGTGTTTAGACGATGAATTTTGCTCAGTAAGTGGCTGTCCGCGTGTTGTACCTTAAGTAGAAATCTGCTAGATAACATTTGCCTTCGAAGATGTAAAGGAGGCTCCTGTGCTTCTGCTCGCAAAGGTCCGACTGGTGACGATTGCATTGCTCCAAGACATTTCCTGAGAAATTTATTCTGAGTTATATCTAGCACATGAAGGAGATTTTTACTGGCAGAGCCATAGAATATGCTGCCATAATCAAGGATAGATCTAACATATGATCTGAAGAATAATATTGCGATCTTTTGATCGGAGCCCCACCATACCTTGCAGATCATCTGGAAAAAATTGAAGGCTTTCTCACATCTACTGACTACTTGTTCGATATACGGCTTCCATGTGAGCTTTTTGTCAAGGATTACGCCGAGATATTTGACAGAAGTTTCAACTTTGAAGGATAACCCTCCCAGTAGTATGTTCCTCTGTAATGATACATTGTGTCGTGAGAAAACGCAAAAGGATGATTTTTTCAACGATATGTCGAAACCATGTTCCATTAGCCACTGTTTGTAGTGTTCCATTGAAGAATTTAGCGTAGATATACATTGATTAAGTTGACGGTTCTCTATATATACACAAATATCGTCTGCATACTGGACCAGCTGACATGGGGTTTGCACATCATGTAAGTCTGCCGAAAAGATATTGAATAAAATTGGGCTTAAAACTGCGCCCTGTGGGATACCTTCCTGCACTAGTCGTGGTCCAATCTTTCCGCCACTGTCGTTGCGTAGGAAAATATTCCTATCACGGTATAGGTTTGTTACAGTAAAACTGAAGTGAGGTGGGATGCCAAATTTTTCCAGTTTGTTTCGAAGTATGTTTAAATTGATGTTGTCATATGCACCTGTAATGTCTATGAAGATGCCTGCTAAGTAGTTGTTTCGCGTGAAACACATCTGAATGTCGGTGACAATATTCGTAATAGCGTCTGCTGTTCCAACTCCTTTCTTGAAGGCATATTGGTTGTTAGGAAGTGGATGAGATCTAAACCACCATTCCAGGCGATTTTTGATCAATCTTTCAAAAGTCTTCATGACGCAGGATAAAAGAGATATCGGGCGATATGAGTCAGCGCAATTGGGATCCATGTTTGGCTTCAAAATTGGAACTATAACGATGTTTTTCCATTGGCTAATTGTGTCTGCATTCAGCCAAATGTTGTTAAATATATCCAGAAGGAATAGTTTTGCATTAGATGGGAGGTTCACGAGCATTGGATATGTGATATCATCGCAGCCAGGTGATGTGTTTCTGGTATTTTTAACTGCAAGATTTAGTTCCGTCATGTTGAAAGGTCTGCTGAAAAAGTTGTCTTGATGTAAACGTGGGGGAGGTTCGACTTCTGCAGCCACGAAGGACGGAGAGCATTTTCTATGGAAGTCGTCTGCCCAATCAGAATTAGTTGATGCTTTCTTTCCCATGGGTATCCTTCTGATGATTTTAGCCTGTTTCCAGAGATCGGTTGATGACGTATTTTTATTCAACTTAGATATCCATGCTTTCCAGCTATTTTTTGATTTTTGTTTGAAGAGTTTCTTTGTTTCAGCAAATACTTTCTTGCAGTGGACGAAGTTGGCTAAAGAACTGTCCTGTTTGTACGTTGCTAAAGCTGAGGTCCTTTGTGCTATGGCACTTATACACTGTTCATCCCACCAAGGAGGGGGTGGCCGTTTCTTAGCTTTAAATGGCCTTAGTATAGGGATGGAGATCTCGCTAACATCATTGATCTTTTCAATGAGATAATCGTATTTACTTTGAGTGGAGTAAAATTCTGGAGTAGAATCGAAAATATCTTCCAATAAGTCGTGATACAAACTCCAATTGGCTTTTTTCATATTCCACTTATACTTAGGATAGATTGTGTCATATACTTGGAAAGATAGAGGAATAAACATAAGAATAGGAAAATGGTCCGAACCTAATGTATCAGAAGTAAGTTGCCAATGACTTATTTGTGCAATATCTCGGGAGCAGATTGTAACATCTGGAGCAGTTACCTGCTGATTTGGAGCTACAAGCCTAGTAGGCGAACCATCGTTCATAACGACTAAATTCTTTGATTCGCATATATTTATTAACTGATAACCTATGGAATTATTAAATGAGGATCCCCAGAGATGAGAGTGTTTAAATTAGACTTGTAGTCTTGATCACCCAAATGGAGTTTCCCAAGTATAGAAACAGCTTATTATACGAAATGTTAACAAACCATTCAGTAGACGAATATGAAGGACCTAAACGAAAGAAAAGCAAACTCCCAGATGAAACAAATAAAAATTTGAGTCTCATCAGCAGTTTATACATTTATACAAATACACCACCACATGGTTATGGGACCCAAGCACCCAAGGTAGCTGAGACCATCAACAGGGCTTACAGTTTCAACCTAAAACCTCAGGGGAAAGAAATCACAATACTTGGCAAGAAAATAGAACGTATGCATTGGGAGAAGAAAGATGGAGCTTTCCCTTTTGACCAAATACATGGAAATTTTATCCCTTCTGAAGTAAGATTGATGGTGGAAAGCTTTATCAAAGTAAATCAACCCTATGTTGACAAATGTGCAGAAGAGACCATGAAAACAATGCTTGAGACTAACTCTGACATTCTCACCAAAGGAAAACAAACTTTTTGTCCTTTCACAAATCAAAGTGCGACTTCTGCCATAGCGTATCAGAGAATGTATGAATTTCTCTCCAGCAATAGTGGGAACCAATGCCTAAGTTGCCTTGAGTGGATACAAGCATTTATGATTCTTCTTGAGAAACCGACAATCAGTTATCAAACAACAAAATGGAAAGAATACGACAAAGTAATATATGACAGGAGCACCAAACAACGCAAGATAGTGAAAAGAAAGAAACGTCAAATGGTCACAATTGAAACCAAGAACAACGAGGAAACTAGACAGGTGTTATTAACCATAGCAACAAGATTTGCTTCATATTTAAAACATAAGGAAAGGGGAAAGAAGGACAGGAGAGCAATAGCATCTGCAAATATGATTTTAAGAATGTTTTTACATATCATTGAAGACTTCCACCTAAAATTATCTGAGAAAGTAGAAGGAGCGACTATTTCCATAGGAGGAGAAGAAAAGAAACAGAAGATCGCAAGCAATATGTCATCTGCATCACTCCCTTCAGGCCCAGCTGCCACCATATGCCAAGGGACAGAGGATGCTACAAAGTGGAATGAGTGTTTGGCACCTTCTTTATTTGGAATAATGCACAAATATCTTTTTGACGAGAAAACGAGAATAAATCTGGGCCTCCCTCCTCCCTCTGAAATGGGAAAATTATTCTCAATGATATCTGTAGCGGGAAACTTTTTGATGTCAATGAAAGAGATTCAATTAGGAAAAGGTCTCACCATATACAATGAAAGCGAATACAGCAGGATAGAGTGGTGCAAAGAATGGTATGAAACAATGAATACTGAAACCAGAAAATGGTTTTCACTTCTTCAAAATCACATAACTGAAGACAAAGAATTCACAAGGGCAAGTCCTGGAATGCTAATGGGAATGTTAAACGCTGGTTCTACTACGGCAGGGCTCCTAGCAACAAACCACAGAATGAAGAAAGACAAAATGAGAGTTTTGACCCTAAGATCTAGCGATGATTCCATGTCATTGTATATGGGAAACAATGCCCAAGATAACAGAATATGCATTGAGATGAACAGAAGAAATTTGGGAATGCTAGGAATTAATTTGAGTCCGGACAAAACGTTCTTTTTTCGTGAAGGTATAGGAGAATATACCTCTTGGTACATGGATAAAAAATTCATAGCACAATTTGGAACAGAAACTGCGTCAATACGCCCGAAAGGAATCAACCCACATGACGATTTTTACTCGGTGGCCAAAGAAACATCAACAGCATTAGCCACATTAAATATAAACCATATGGGGGCAGCTGCCAGACTGAGAGTTGGGATCGATGGTATACGCAGACTCTGGAGAATCAAACGCACTCCTGGAAAGAGAGAAAAGATATCAGATAAGGTGTTGCTGCTATCAGATGGAGGAATACAGACCTGGACCACCACCAACTGCCACCTAGAAGAAACATGCTTAGCTCAACATAATGCAACAACGAGCGAAGAAGAAGAATACTTGCTAAGAGTGAGGAATCCTGACAACCCCTTTTCCCAAGAACCCACTGAAGAAATGGTGTACTCGAAAGAACACGGCACTCTCATCATGGACAGAATTGAAATACCTAGGACTTGTTTCAACTTCTTAAAGAAGACAAATCGGACCCTTGACAGAGAAGACAAAAAAGAGGCAGCTGCTAAAGAAAAAGCCAATCATGAAGCAAGTAAGCTAATAAGTCTTGTGGATCCCACAACACTGGTTTCTGGTCCTACTACCAACAGTGTTATATCTTCCCATATAAGCTCTATTCTGAAGATGGAGAGAGAAAATCTAAAGCTTACCCAAGAGCAATCACAACAATTTGCTGCTGCAATCAAGATACTAGATGACGGTGACACTAATCTATTACTGGAATCGGTTCAACAGGAAATGGATGATGAAGAATTCAATAACTGGGAGGAGAATTTTGAATTTTAATTTGTTCATTTTGTATAGTTTATAGAAAAAGGATCCTGTTATTACTTTCCGTAAGGAAACGGAAATAGTGAAATGGTGGGTCGTATGAACCGAGGCCTTTTCATATTTATCGAAGTATAAAAAAAGTTCTAAATTAATCTTTTCCGGATATTACAGTGAAATTTCGCTTCGCGGACACCCCTCTTACACGGACACCTCCTTTAAAAGGGCAGTTTCTCATGTTCCCGACCGACTCTCATATAACTTGCATTGTATTAATTCTTTCTTGGATGTACGCGGACACTAGAAAATGTTCTGCTAAAGGACAAAAACAAAATTAAAAGGAAACGCCCTTGTCTTATTATTTTTCTGTTGAGAGAATCTCCAATGTATTTCTCAATCGGGTCGCGCGCCATCTTCGCTGGGACTTTCTCGAGTAAACCGGGGATTCAGCGACTTTAGTCTTTCGGTATAAACGCAGATTGTGTGGTACATTTCTGCCGTGGAAAAACCCGCTTGGGACCAAGTAACCTAAGAAACAGTGCCAAAATTGCTTCCGCTAAACAGGATTTAAGAACGAAAATATGTGAAGACGAGTCAAGGATCACGTGAGACCACACGCGACCACCAAGCGACAACGCGGCTCGCACTCAGGTGCGTGTCAGTCATCAGCTACGTGATTATCTTGTCACCGAGGGGGAGGCAGCTATGACTGACAACTTGGCGTATATCGTGGAGTTGCGTAACGAGGGTCTCCAGCTAGCTGTCGTGCAGCTGGGCCTCTTCCTCGATAACTGGATAAAAAAACAATTTCCAGACCAGCCGGAAACGAAACTAAGCCCAAACTAGAACAGGGCGGGGTCCAAGGTCTAAGGTTTTAAAAAAGCCCAAGACCTCTATAATAAAAATCGAAGCTCTCTAGTGGACAACATACTATCTGGAACTCAGCTAGATGAGCAAGAAACAACTCCCCCTATTAATGAGGTTGAGCGATTGTATCGTGGGATCTTGGAGTCGCTTGTAAGGGAGGCGACGAAGGTTCATAACAAACCTTTGACGGAGGACTCGAAAACGTTCCTGCCCGTCAGGCAGGATGAAATTGAAAAAGCGAAAACATCGTGGGGCAACTCTGTTATTATATTAGTTTAATTAGCAGTAACCTTGCAACACCTCCTCAGATTGTATAACATAGACTTAACGAAATGTTAATGTATCTTAACCCCAGAAGACCACGGGGTACCGTAATTTGGGGTGAAATTGATCTCCAGGGGTGAAATTGATCACCAAGTCTTCTGAAAATGTTTTCAAATAAAGGTACAAGGACTATAGTAGTGCTGTTGTTGAGCAAGCGTTAGGAAAGGTAACTGAAGAAGGATGGAGCTTACGACGAGCTTCTCGGGAGTATAACATACCTTTTGGAACACTAAATAATAAATACCATGGACGGCATCATAGAAAAAATGGTGGGCAAACAGTATTTTCCAAGAGCGAAGAAAAAGCGATCATTTCCGCAGCAAGTATTTGCGCAGAGTGGGGGTTTCCGTAAGATACAACTGATCTAAGATACTTTGCCGAAAGTTATTTGGATAGCCAAGGACGTAACGTAGACGTATTTCGGAATAATCTCCCGGGAAATGATTGGGTTTATTCTATGCTTCAAAGATATAGCAATGATATCGTGAAAAAGGTAGCTGCAAATATTAAACGCTCTCGAGCTTCTGTGTCAAGGCAAACCATGCAAGATTATTTTAATAATTTACGCCTCACTCTGGATGGTATTCCACCATCAAACGTGTTCAATTACGATGAAACCAATCTACAAGATGATCCAGGAAAGAAAAAAATGTTATTCAAACGCGGTACCAAATATCCCGAGAGAGTATGTAACTTCACTAAAAGTGCTACCACTATTATGATGTGTGGGTCCGCATCAGGTGTTTTACTGCCACCATATATCATATATATATATATATATATATTTGTGTACTTGTGGCTCACCCGGGAAGGTTCCGGATTTTTCAATCAAACCGAGAGTCGGGCCCGTGCTATTATTATGGCGCGGAGGCTAATTTCCGGATTGAACGCTCTCACCGCGACCCCCAAGAACAGTGGCGCGAGACTGACCAAGGCGCCGGTCCTACTAACAATGGGCCAGATCTACCCCTGGCCCAACCCGCATCCAGCAAACGCGGGAGTGAGGACAAGGGAAGGACAGACAAATCAAAGGCGAAGCCCGTCAGCGGCGCCAAGACATGCAATACTGGCGCCAAGTCCTCCCCGAACTACTATTGCACGACGTGTGACACTGCTTTTACGTCGGCAGTGCAGCTACGAACGCACACGATGGCGAGAGCATGCGAAGGCAGGCTCCAATGTAAACACTGTCCAATGAGATTTGGCAGTTTCAAGTCCACCCGACAGCACGAGCGGAGGGCACACCCGGTGGAATATGCCGGTGAGATCGAGAAGATGCGCGGTCCTCTG